TTGTACGTATGCTGACCTGCCGATATCCTACCGTTATTCGTGATGAGTAACTATCCTTGTTCCGGCACCGTTTGTGGATTTATAACTCTAGGACACCACCAGATCGTTGGTACGGCACCATTTGAATGATCAACTAAAGTCATACTCAGCAGTACAGAAGTACTACAAATTTAGCTTGAGTCATCGAGCGATGACTTGTTTGGTACACACAACAAGTTGTGGTATTCACAAAACAGGATGTAATGAAAAGTACAGTCAGCTGATTTGGTTTGAAAATAGTACCACGTGTTTTTGATGAGCTCCCTTAGTATTCCGACGATAGACGTCAATCGGCAATTTCCATGACGACTCCCGTAAGAGTACTAAAAATGTTTTGTGTCACGTGTATATGCAAAACGGTGCTAATCACAGCATGAGGTTTCGTCATTTTCTTTGGAAAAGTAAACACCACCGAGTACTAACGAACTGAAATATCAACCTTGAACCTAATGGCATCGACTGATCGAATGCACACATAAGCAAACGCCAACACATGCCGAAATAAAAAGCTTCCTTCGAGCTCACTGTGGTTGTAAGGCTAAAGATATCTTCTATTAGACTGTTGATGAATATGGTGATGCAACCGTTGGATAGAAAATTACTTTCACATGCACTTTTAAAATCACGAGAAAATGACCAGGGATGATGTAGTGTACACGAAAACTCATGGGACAGGCAGAGTTCGAGCACACGCTCTACGATGGATAGCGTCAGAAATTTTACGACTGATATATATATATATATATATATATACTTAACACTGGCTTGAAAACAAGCATGGTGCCAACGCCACAACAATAACAACAATGACAGCGAAAGGGGATAAGTGGTTTAAGATACAGAACATAGTGAAAATTGGGTGAAACAGTTAAAGATGAGAAAATGCAAGATAACAGAATTTTTTGTGTTTCACCGTACACCTTTTGTCATTTTGTTAAGTTGTTTGATGTTGCGTTTTTCTTAAGGGGCAGGGGATTTCGACAGGCAGACCGTACAGCATTCTCGCCACTGACTTCTATTCTGCGCCATATCTCTCAGCGTCTCTAACCAGCGACAATCCTCATCCCTTGGAGCCCAACCTGGAAGGCGGGCTGCACCAACCGAAGCCTCTAGTCCATGTCATGGTCTGACCTCCGCGCCGCTTCTTCCAGCCTTGCCCGACACGTGCAAAGAGAGCACGGAAAGGTAGTCGATGGCCAGGCATACGCAATACGTGACCAAGCCATCGGAGGCGGTGTAGAGCGATTACTTCTGTTAGAGAACGACTATCTGCACCCAACACACGACGACGCACCTCGCCATTGGTCACCCGGTGTTCCCACTAGACACGAGCAATGCTTCGGAGACATCGGTGGTCGAATACAGAAAGTCAATTAGCATCCTCAACGCGGAGGGGCCAGGTCTCGCAACCGTAAAGAAGAACGCTATGAATCGCGGCGATGTACACCCTTTCCATAAGGGACAATCGGATGTCATGGCGGAGCCACAGGTGTCGCAGGTTAGCGAAAGCTGCTCTAGCTTTCGCTTTTCGTGATGTGATCTCCTCCCAACGCCACCACAAGATGAGATCAAGCTCCCGAGGTACTTAAAGCTCTCAACTAATTCCAGCTGATCACCACAGAGGGTGAGTGCAGGCACAGGCTCCTGACACTTTTGAACAAGAACCTTGCATTTGGAAAGTACAAAGCACATACCATCCCTGGATACCTCGATCGCCAAGCGGTTCAAAACGTTTTCGACTGCCTGTGTATTATCACCCAACAAGGCGATATAATAGGCATATTCCAAGTCAAGAACTCTGTTCCCTGGGAGGAGTTCGACTCCACCGTTTGCTAGACCGGACAAAGCATTCTGTAGAAGATCCTCTATGGT